GCCCTCCCTCCCTCCCTCCCCCCTCCAGCGCCGCCACTCACTTCCGGCCCACACCCTCCAAGCGCGGCCTCACCGCGCCCCCGTCACGTGACGAGCGGGCCAATGGCGGGCCATACCCGACCCGCGGGGAAGAGGCGCCGCGGTCCCGCCCCGCCGTACGAGCGCCGACTAATGGGCTCCCGCTCCGCCTCGTGACGCGCGGCCCGCTCTGTGGCGCCGACCAATGGGGGCGCGGGGCGGCTGCGTTTGAAAGCGCCGGGGGGGGCGGGGACGCCAACGGGTCGACGGGGCGCTGAGGTGAGGGGCGCGGCGGGGGCTGCCGGGAAGGGGGCGGACCGCGGACCGCCGGCATGGCGCACAAGCAGATCTACTACTCGGACAAGTACGACGACGAGGAGTTCGAGTACCGGTGAGACGGGGGAGGGAGGGCCCGGTAACGGTTCCCAGGAGGGGGTGGGGACTGGGGGGGGAGGGGCGCGCCCCGGTGATGGCTCCCCGGTGGGGCGGGAAGGGGGTTGTCCTGGTAACGGATCCCCAGGGAGGTTGGGGGGGGAAGGGGTGTCCCGGTAACGGATGCTCGGTAAGAGTGGGGCGTCCTGTTAGCGGTTCCCTGGTGGGGTGGGGGAAGTTGGTCTGGGTAACGGTTCCCCGGCGGTGGGGGCGGGGGGAGGAGGCCGTTAACGGCTCGCTAGCGAGGGAAGGGGGGCGGGGTAAGAGGGGAGTTTTCCTTCTAGCGGCTCCCCGGTGGATGGGGCGGGGGGGGGCCGGGCCCGGTAGCGGCTCCCGGCGGGGAACCTGCAGCCGGGGTGGGGGGCGGGTCCTCGTTGCCGGCACCGTCTGAGGGTGGGGGAGGTCGCAGGCACGTGATGCTGCCCAAGGAGGTGGCCAAGCTGGTGCCCAGGACCCACCTGCTGTCGGAGTCGGAGTGGCGGAACCTGGGGGTGCAGCAGAGCCAGGGCTGGGTGCACTACATGATCCACGAGCCAGGTGAGCCCCGCCGGGGGGGCGGGCGGCGGCCGGGGGGACCCGGCCTGACCCCCCACCTCCCCCCTCAGAGCCCCACATCCTGCTGTTCCGCCGGCCGCTGCCCAAGAAGCCGGAGAAGTGAGCGGGCCCCGGCCCACCGAAGCCCCCACCGAGACTGCACCTTCCTCCTCCTCGCTCCCGGGGGGGCTTCACCCCGTGACCCTCGGGGCTGCCTGGGCGCTGCCCGGGGGGGGGAGCTCGGCCCCAGTGCCGGGGGGGCCCTTCCTAATGCCAGGCCTGAGCACACACTGAAGCTTCAATAAATGGATGTTTGGGAACAACTGTCTGCTGTGTCGGGGGGGCGGGGGCTCCCGGTGCCTCAGCATCCTGCTTTGGGGGGTGCAGGCATGCTCCCGGTGACCGGGTGGGGGGGCGGGGGGTAGGGGAGGGCTTCCCCGGGGCAGCCCTCCCC